TGAGAAATTCAGAAATTCAGAAATTCAGAAATTCAGAAATTCAGAAATTCAGAAATTCAGAAATCCAGAAATTCAGAAATTCCAAAAAATTCAGAAATTCAGAAATTCCAGGAAATTCAGAAATTCAGAAATTCAGAAATTCAGAAATTCAGAAATTCCAGGAAATTCAGAAATTCCAGGAAATTCAGAAATTCAGAAATTCAGAAATTCAGAAATTCAGAAATTCAGAAATCCAGAAATTCAGAAATTCCAAAAAATTCAGAAATTCAGAAATTCCAGGAAATTCAGAAATTCCAGGAAATTCAGAAATTCCAGGAAATTCAGAAATTCCAGGAAATTCAGAAGTTCAGGAATTCAGAAATTCAGAATCTCAGGAATTCAGAAATTTAGATATTTTCGGATTTTTAAACGCTTGAAAATTGGGATAATTGCTCCTGTAATACTTCCATGCTGAAATTAGAAAATTCTCTGAAATTCCCTTCCCCTATGTTTATTTATTTATTCATTTCTCTTTTTTCAGATGATTCTAATACTGTTTAGGACTTCAGAACTGGATTAGACAAACCAACAAAACATTTTTCCATATTCCCCAAATTCCGCTAATTCCATAAAAGCATTTGATAAGAGCAAAAAATTGTTCATTGGTAGGAGTGACCTGTCAGGAAGGTGATGTGTCTTGAGATAATTTTTTGGCTTATCTCTTATCAGTGAAAAGATAATCAAAATTATAAATTAAGCATTTTTCTAGATGACCATTTTTCTTGTAATCCTTGTTTGACACTTCCAGAATTAGTTTTAGGTTTTTTTTTGAAATTTCCAAGATGATGATTGCCCTTAGAATCTGAAAAAAAAGGGAAATTCCAATAAAAATCCCCAGACAGGTGAATTTGCATAATATTTATAAAATTATTGTGTGGGTTGAAGCCTGAAACATCAGAAAGAGGCTATTTTGGAAAAAAGAATAGTTCTGATGTATGTTGCCAGATTTTTTTTTCTACTTGGAATTTCAGATTTCAGCAACATAGATCTGAAATAAAATTTATTTTCAGATGTTGAAACATCAGATTATTTGAAAAAGAAAGCTGAAAGTAGATCGGTGAACGGGACTTCCAGAAGTTTGGTGTCAAAATTTAATCAGGGAAACCAGAAATTGGAAAAATGTGAATTCAAAAGAAACAAAATATGAAGGTCTCTATCTTTGAGCTTGTACAGCTCATTTCCTGTAAAAGATATCCAAATTATGTCAATTCATAAATTGTTTATCATAATATCACCAATATTGTATCAATTGACAGATTTTTGATATTTTTCACAGGATTCAAGATAATTGAGCTCAAAGGTGATAGTGTAAAACCCAAGGATTACGGTAGTTGTTTCCTTGTTAGGCCTCCTTGATCCTATTTCTTGCATTTTCCTGGCAGACGAATTGCGCAGGCTGTGAAATCCAAAGACTACTAGATCCTCTTATTCGTCTGGTCCAATATCCCTCACATTCCAATCAGATTATTCCAAACATGATCCTACAGAAACACTTTCACAAAGCAATCAAGACATGGGACAAGTTGAGAACTTCATCCATCGGATCGGAAAATCCATTCCTAGACACCCAAAATCCTTGGAAATCCTAACAGAAAAGTTTTGCTCCTCTTTGTGGTATAATCCCATTTGCGTAAAAAAACTAGAATCGTTTGATCCCCTATGATCCCACGACTGATCGCTTTTCAAAGTCACTCTTCATCTTTCGAAACTTTTGGTTTCAGTCCAAAAGTCCACTAATCCCAGTCCCTCCGGATTTAGTGCCCCCGCCGTTGCCTTTGTGTTTCAAAGTCTACAAAATATGCACAGACTTGGAGATTATGAAATTAGCCAGGTGGTTTTTAGCTTGGTGTGTTGGTTTTGTATAGTTGTGTGATGAAACTTCGCGTTTCAGAGAAAGCAGCTGGAATTTCAGAGACAACGAAAAATGAGATTTGCACTTTTAGAAGGGTGGATTATATAGAGGATAAGCTCGATTTTCAGATTTGTCATGGACCAAAAACACGCTCTAAACGGCTCTAGGCACTTTGAGCTCAATTATCTCAGTTCTTATGAGAGATATCAAAAATCTGTCAACTGATAAAATATAGGTGATATTGTGGTAAATATTTTATTAGTATACAATATTTTGATATCTCTCAAAGAAAGCGAGATAATTGAGCTCAAAGTTCAGGCATAGTCTGGGGGTCCCGATTTTCAAAACCTCTGATCCTTTTGCATAAGTCTGAGATCCTGTGGACTTTGACACACAACTTTGTATGTCTGGGAACAGGTGATTTTTCAAGTTAATATTTCCAGACGACACGTAGACGATGTATAGACTACGAGAACCACAAAAACCACCGTCCGGTAATAGAATAACTTGATTTTTCACACGTAAGAAAGACATAGCACTTCAGGTGGTGGACCCTAAAGTGATCAGTTGTCTGTTGGAACGACCTGGAAGTATCTGGAATTATCTGAAATCGAAAATGTTGGGTGCAATGCTCAATAGCCCAAATAACTCGTTGTTGTACTAAAAACGGGAAAAACACGTGCCATAGGAATTCTCGAAAAATTCTATGAATGCAAAATTTTTAATCTAGGTCTGTTTTACATCCTCCGAATGTCTCAAAGTGATTGGAAACCTGACAGCCGAGCACCAGACTTTTGAAAATGCTTAGAAATCAACTGACAAATAAGGTTTTGTATATCTTATTGACCAGTATTGCATTTCAATAGTACATTTCAATAGTACTTCAAAAAACCAAAACAAAGTTCTAGAAATCTGATTTCTGCCAGTAAAACAGCGAATCTGCAGAGTCGTCATTTTCAGACTTTTACAATTTAGAGCTTTAATATAAGCCAGTATATCAAAGGATCTGCAGGACCATCCATCCCTAGAACCCCCTAAACTTTTAGAAATCTATAGACGCTTTTTTTTATAATTTACCATTTGTGTAGGCTTCTCAAACCGTTTGATTAGTCTGGTCAACAACTTCTAAACCTTATGTTCCCACGACTGATGGCTTTTCAAAGTCACTTTCGATCTTTTGAAATTTCTAGTTTCAGTCCAAAAGTCCACTAATCCCAAGTCTCCCCGGATTTAGTGCCCCCGCCGTTGCCTTTGTGTTTCACATTGTCAGAGTCTACAAAATATGCACAGACTTGAAGTTTATGAAATTAGACAGGTGATTTTTTTTTCAGACTCTATGGCTCAACGCCTACGAAACATTATCAGACTCTTGAAGTTTATAACATTAAAAAATACAGAGATTATGAAATTAGACAGGTGATTTTTATTGAGTTTTGATGTCGTTTTGCAGATTTATGCTAAGAAAAGCAGCTGGAATTTCAGACACCACGAAAAATGGGAGGTGCACTTTTAGAACGGTGATATGACAATTTTTAGGAAGGATGAGCACCTTGTTTTTTCCAAAAATAGGAAAAAATAAGAGAATAGGAAATTTCAAATCGGTTTTCCAGATGATTTCTCCAAGAATCCATAAGCCCCTCCCTCTAAAAGGGCAATCTCTCAAAGTGCAAAAATCTGTGATCAATTGATCATGATGTCTAGACACAGCTGCTCTGCACTTTTATATAATCCAAAATACACTTACACTGTCTGGAAGGGGGTATAAAAGGGCAAGGTTTCTGGGGAAGTCCTGGATTCTGGATTTATTCTAGGGGCTCAATCGTTTCTTGAAATTTTTAAATCATTATTTTTTAGACCTTCCTATTTGTTGGCCATTTTCTTTGGGACCCAATTTTTTACCTCTTTTTTTCAGTTTATTTTTTTGAAGTTCCATTTACCTTTACCCATAAATACTCCAAAAAATACCTCTAGAAAAAACCCCCAAGAAAAAAAACCTTACTAAAAAACCCCCTATAAACCTCCGAGCATATTTTGTAGGTCTAAAGAACGCTAATCCAATTTTTCCTCTACTTTTTTCTCGATGATGTTTCCAGGTGAGTGACTGGGATTAAAAGTCAAGAAGACCAGAAGATTTCTGAACTTCTAGACTCTGAAAATTCCGAATTTTCAAAAGATCAAAAGTGACTATTGAAAAGTGATCAGTCGTGGGATCATCGAGTTTAGATGTCTAGGAGTTTTAGATTTCGAAAACCTACGCAAATGGAAAATGTCTTAAAGAGGAGAAGCAAACTTTTCTGTCAGGAACTCGAAGGTTTTTGGGGTTCTCAGGAATGGATGTTCAAATTGGTGTCTGATATAGACTCAAGAAAATATTGATGCTTAAAAAGATCATGTTTCATATGAAACTATGTCCCAGGATTTTGATATTTTCTATGATAAATTATTCAATCTCAAAATAGATAGATAAAAAGAAGTTAACAATTTAGGGGTGCAAATTACAAGACTCCAAAAATTCAGACTTCTTATTTCTATGGTCACTTCAAATTCAAAATGTTCCACTAGATTTGAAGCCATCAAAACATCAGAAACACATATTCGGAGCGAATTTCAACAATATTATTATATGATCTGAAAGTATGGACTACCGTAATACCTCTATTAGAAGGGGTTCTAGCATACTTGCGGACGGGCCCAAAGCGGGCCGTGGCGGGCCCTGTCATAGTTTCTTTTAGGATTGATATTTTTTGACCAACTAAATTAGATACGGTAGAACTCGACGAGCACTACAAAATGATAATATTTGGAACACTGTATCATATTTGTGAACAAAGTTACAAGCCAAAAAGCTGCAAATGCGGGCCGGTTTTTTCGGCCCGTTTGGTCTGTAACTTTGTTCACAAACATGATACAGTGTCCCAAATAGTATCATTTTGTAGTGCTCGTCGAGCTCTATCATATCTAATTTAGTTAGTCAAAAAACATTGATCCTAAAAGAAACTATGACAGGGCCCGCCACGGCCCGTCAGCAAGTATGGGTTCTAGTATTATCCTCGGTACCTCTCGAGGGCACTTCTAATATAAAGTACCGGTCAATAAGATATACAAAAACGTACATTTTTCGGTCGTTTTTACTATTTTCAGAAGTCCAGCTCCAGCTCGCCTTTCAAGTTTCCGATCACTTTAAAAATTTGGGATAGTGTAAAACAGACCTAGATTGAAAACTTTGCATTCACAGAATTATTTGAAAATTCCTAATTTTTCAGATATGGGCTGATTTCGGAAGTACAACTCTTTTTGAAGTCGACAAAAAGCTAGGAATTTTCACAGCCGTGACAGCCAAAAAAATAGGATTGCTCATTCTTAACTGACTACAGTAATCCTCCCTCGTTTTTTACAAAATACCTTTTAATTTGCCCTAAATTGATCAAATTTGATTTTTAATGGTCAATCCTTGGGTGACTACTACTACCGTATTATCTATTTTTCCGAGACTTTCTAGGAGGGCCCTTTTATTAGAGGGGCTCTTTTAATAGAGGTTTTTTGACTAACAGACAAGAAGATTTTATTAATGGTTCTGGCTATTTTGGAGCTTAACGTTTTTGACGCTTCTCTCAGAAACTGATGAGAAATTTGATAAAAATTAGGATTCTATTTTTTGTCTATTCCCTCATCCCGAACTCAGCAAATTATCAATTCCCGATCACTTCTGCAAAAAGCAATCAAGAAATGGGGGCTCTAGTATGAAATTCTGGTCCTTAAAAAAAAATTCTGGTCCTTAAAAAAAAATTCTGGTCCTTAAAAAAAAATTCTGGTCCTTAAAAAAAATTCTGGTCCTTAGAAAAAATTCTGGTCCTTAAAAAAAATTCTGGTCCTTAAAAAAAAATTCTGGTCCTTAAAAAAAAATTCTGGTCCTTAAAAAAAATTCTGGTCCTTAGAAAAAATTCTGGTCCTTAAAAAAAATTCTGGTCCTTAAAAAAAATTCTGGTCCTTAAAAAATTCTGGTCCTTAAAAAAAAATTCTGGTCCTTAAAAAAAAATTCTGGTCCTTAAAAAAAAATTCTGGTCCTTAAAGAAAGATGTGGGTATTTGAATAGCTTTCATGTTTTTGTTTGAAAATTTGGTTAGATTGAAACGTTTATTTATTCCAATCATGTTTTCAATAGTTTTGATGTTTTAAAAATAATTTTTTTTGTAATTTTGATTTTTATTCAGAAGAAGGTATAAGACTAAAAGGTGTGGCATATAAGAATTAGAGAGGATAAATAGTTCAGAACACAAAAAAAAGAATATCGGTTGCAACAAGATGATCTTATCCGCGTCCTTTGAACTTCCTTCGGCCGGTGAAAGTGGATTTTAGAGTAGTGGTTGTGAATCTTGGAGTAATGGTAGTCGATCTTGGAGTGGTGGTAGTGGGCCGCCCGCGTCTTCTTCTATCATTCCGAGTCTTCTGAGTGGTGATGGTTGTTTGTCTCGTTTCAGGGGCAGACGTCGTCCGTTTCGTACGAGGTTCTGTCGTGGTTCGTCTCGACTGATGGGAAGTTGTTCGTCTTGTTCTCATGGTGGTCGTGGTCCTCATGGTTGCTGTGGTTGTGATGGTGGTTGTAGGATCAGCTTTTCGACTTTGTGTCTTCTTCCGAGGTTTTCGAGTTTTGGTCGTCGTTTGCCTTGGTGTAGTTGACGAAATTGGTCTGTTGGTTTTGATAATCATTTCTGGCTTAGAAGAGGTGGTGGTTCTCATTGTAGAACTTCGACGTTCGTTTCTATTTCGATTCAAACGAGCAGCCATTGTGGTTTGTCTTGTTGAAAATGTAAAGGCGCGATTGTTTCTTTCATTTCGTTGTTTGGGAGCAAATGAAACTCTATCAGAATCGAACTGTTTTCTTTTTCTGAAGATTTTCGTGGTCGGTGCTTCAGTCAATTGATCTTCCTCTTCCTGTTCATCTTCGTACTCATCTTCCTGATGATCCTCTTTTTGTCTCTCATTCTCGCCTTCTCCCTCCTGCTCTCCGTTTTGCTCTTCTTCCTGCTCTCTCTCCTGCTCTTCCTCAAACTCTGGTTCATCTTCGTTTTGGATATCGTCATCATCATATTCATCATAATGATCATAACCATCATAATCGTCATAACCATCATAATCATCATAGACATTATTATCATCAACTGTACTATCTGCTCCGTCTTCATCATCGTCGTCTCCATGATTCGGGTCGCTGGAATCGGACTCGTCTTCACCGTCGTAGTAATCAGAGCTTTCATCCGTGGAGATTTCAGATTCACTTGAATCATAGTCATCTTCTTTCTTATAATACTTCATCTCGATCAGAAGTTGGTTCAGAAGTTTTTTTTTTAAGAAGTAGCGTCTAAACATGTATGTCGACATGTATCCGTCGAGTTCTTCTTCTGGGACGCCGTATTTCGCGTTGAGTTCCTTTTTGAAAGCACCCCAATCAACAACTGTACTATTTTTCTTATCTCGACTTTGATCGTCGTCTACATATTTCGAGTGATCTTCATCCTCATGTTGAGGTACATTGATTTGAAGTGTGTCCTTGATATGATGTTCGTAGTTTCTCGCCTCCACCTTATTCACATACTCTATATCCGCTGGAAAGATTTGTTGTTCACTTACTAATAGTTATATCACTTACCGTAACTACTTCAGCTATAACAGGAGAAGCTTTCACAAGTGCCATTGCAGGGAATCCGAAAACAGGGGAAGTCGAAAGTAGCAAAAAAATAATGAATCGGAACACATTCATCTTAATGTGTGCCTGGTAATGGCGATCACTAAAATATCCTCTGGGAAGGGGTCTCTCAAGCGTCGTCTGAACCTTTATTACTTTATTACTCTAAAGTTACAACCCCACCTGGAAAACCCAGGTGTAACAGTCCCACCTGGAAAAAAAAGCAAATCTTCCTGAGCTCACATCTCGAAACATCGCGGATTTTATTGGCAACATCGATGGAACCGAGGAATCGGATGAAGCAGCACTGCGATTTCTAGCGACGTAAGTTTTTTGTTCTGTTTTCCCAAGAGATTTTCTCAAGAGACTTTTCAGATATGGACTAGTGCCGAATGAGCGAGAGTGCCCAGAATGCCTCAACGGTAAGATGAGTCTTGTCAAAGATAATGCCCTTCCGTTACATTTCGTCTGGCGATGCTCTTCATGCAAAACTTCAAATATCATCACAAAGAAAATGATTCGGTAAGTGATTTCCTTCTAATTCTACTCACCCAGTAACTTCATTACAGAGAGAACACATTTTTCCAAGAACAAAAACTATCCGTACAAAAAATAGTACACATAGCGGCGGATTGGGTCGAAAGTCCAGGACGAAACAACGAAAGAACAGCTTCGTTGCATGGAGTCACGACTTCGACGATTGTAATCTCAACAAACTTTTCCGACAATTGACGGAGCAATGGTTCGAGCGACAAATTGAAAAAAATCCAAATTTTCTGCT